CAAGATTCTGTCTTAAACAAACAAAACAAAAAAACTTGAAATTACAGAAGACACACCAGAGAATCTCCAATCCCTTATTCTCTTTAGAAAGGAATGTGTTCTTTTTTTTTTTTTTTTTTTTTTTGAAACAGAGTCTCGCTCAATCACTCTGGGTAGAGTGTCAGGGCATCAGCACAGCTCACAGCAACCTCAAACTCCTGGGTTCAAGTAGTCCTCCTGCCTCAGCCTCCCAAGTAGATGAGACTGCAGACGCTGGCCACCACACCTGGTTAATTTTTTGTTGCCCAGCTAATTTTTTCTATTTTCAGTAGAGACAGGGTCTCATTCTTGCTCAGGCTGGTGTCGAACTCCTTAGCTAAGCGATCCTCTCACCTCAGCATCCCAGAGTGCTAGGATTACAAGAGTAAGCCACTTCACTCTGCCAGGAATGTGTTCTTATCTTAAAACCTCCAAAACATATACACATGTATAATTTGCAATTAACCACTTCAGTTCCACGCTCACTGGCCGCGAAACCTTGCCCACAGCCAGCACTCATAATCCGCAAGATAGTCTGTGCTGTGCATTGACGACAAGTCCGTTTTGCTCTTGTGTGATGAGGAAAGCTTTAAAGCACTGAAAGCTTGTTTTACTTTACAGGCAGCTTTAGGAAAGTAACTATAATAACTCCTACTAAGCACTTGTTAAAAGGTCACACAGATTTGTAGTAACTTATTAGCTGAACTTACACACTGCAACTGCAGAGATAAAAGCAAAAGCTTTTGGCTGTCGACTAAAGTCAATGCTCAGCTATGTGCCTTCAGCTAAAGTGGCTGTGCCTGTTCATCTGAGGCTGACAACTATGGTCGACACTGGTACCGAAGTGGTTGAGAGTTTTAAAATACCTAACTTTAACATATTAATTTAACCAAAGTATAATGCCAAAAGAGCCAGAATTCAAGAACCTTAGTCAGAGAATTATAATCAAATTTAAAACAAGCATACAATATATACTCATTCTAAAACATTCCAGAATCAATCTGAGAGTTAACTAAATGTCCAAGGAAGCTACAGCAGTCCTATACATTATGACAAAGCTGTCACACCAAGGCTTCCAGGCTCAATTAGTCCTCTGCCATTTTCAGGTGTGGCATCACATTCCAAAAATCACATCCATAAACTTTTTTCCTTACCCTTCTAGAAGACTGAAATAATTCTAGAGAATAAGAGAAGGAGGGGTCCTGACCATGAGAATAACATATATGGTTGACCCAAAAAGAATGGTAGATTAAAAGTTGTACCATACTTAACTCTAGCTTTCACAGACTTTTTTTCCTAAACTTTGAACTTTTAAAGATTCCTCTCTAGGTGTTTCAAAAAATAAATAAACAAATACAACAACCTCACTAAGCTATGAAATAAAAGGCCGAGACAGCATAGCCAATCACAGGATAGATACTCAAGTAACAATTTGAATCAAGCCTTTAAGTGCTATCTTTTAATTTTAAATACCTTAATAATTAACAAAAATAAACATTTTCAAATTTGTATTGCTTTTCAAAAATCAAAAATATATTAATGAAAAAATGACAAGCACAATTTTAGCAAAATATGTGATCATTTATCAAAAGGAATTTGTTGGCCGGGCGCAGTGGCTCACGCCTGTAATCCTAGCACTCTGGGAGGCTGAGGCGGGTGGATTGCTCGAGGTCAGGAGTTCGAAACCAGCCTGAGCAAGAGCAAGACCCCATCTCTACTATAAAGAGAAAGAAATTAATTGGCCAACTAAAAATATATAGAAAAAATTAGCCGGGCATGGTGGTGCATGCCTGTAGTCCCAGCTACCTGGGAGGCTGAGGCAGAAGGATTGCTTGAGCCCAGGAGATTGAGGTTGCTGTGAGCTAGGCTGACGCCTCGGCACTCACTCTACCCTGGGCAACAAAGCAAGACTCTGTCTCAAGAAAAAAAAAAAAGGAATTTGTTTCAGCTGTATTCAAATTACTTTAATTGAAACTTCATCTTCCAAATTATAAAAATATATAAAGTTGTGAAAGTGACCATTATATCATGTTACTATGGGTTTTAAAAATAATAAAAAATACCCATCAATCCAAGAATGGATTAATAAAATGTGGTATATGTATACCATGGAGTACTATTCAGCTCTAAGAAACAATGGTGATATAGCACATCTTATATTTTCCTGGTTAGAGCTGGAACCCATACTACTAAATGAAGTATCCCAAGAATGGAAAAACAAGCACCAGATATATTCTCCAGCAAACTGGTATTAATTGAGTAGCACCTAAGTGGACACATAGGTACTACAGTAATAGGGTATTAGGCAGGTGGGAGGGGGGAGGGGGGCGTGTATATACATACATAATGAGTGAGATGTGCACCATCTGGGGGATGGTCATGATGGAGACTCAGACTTTTGGGGGAAGGGGGGAAATGGGCATTTATTGAAACCTTAAAATCTGTACCCCCATAATATGCCGAAATAAAAAATAATAATAATAATAAAAAATAACTTTTAAGATATCAAATACCTTTATAGAGGCACATTAGATCTTTATGGCATTCCTTAAATTACGTGGTATTAAAATCCTGATTTGTTAGTTCAGTTGTTATTAAGTATGGTACAATGAAACCATGGTTGCCAGGTCAATGGAGGTTTTTCAGCAGCAATTCATTTTAGTGACAGACTGCACTATAATAACATGGTTGCAAAATGAGAAGAATTAATCAAAAGTGTGTGGATATCTAAAACTATTTCAAAATAAAAGTGTATAGAGGGATCAGCTCAATTTCTTTTTAAATTATTTTTACTACAAATGAGAGCACATTTTGCTAGAAGTTAAATATATAACATATAGCATTTTAGTAATAGGTGTTTCAACACACCTAGTGTTGCTCTAGAGTGCAAGTTTAAATTTAAAATGACATAAAAATTGAAGTATTTGAAAAATAATGTGCAACTAATAAATTTTTTAAATATCGCTTCAAACATAAAAGCATACATGCTCCTTCAATTTAGAATAAGATATGCACTTGTTGTTTAAGTTAAGTGCCCTACTAGTCCTGACATAAGGTCTTCTATAACTATTATTTTTGGAATCCATTATCAATTTGAACATAGAGATCACATTTTCTTTCTTCGTTTTCCTGTCTCATCACCCATCAAGTAAAATAAAATGGGAAACAATATCCAGCATTAAAATGTAAATCTAGGCAATTTTTACACCAATTATTTGATTTGTATTCACCAACCCTCCTTAAACTGAAATGTTTACGTTTCCTAATAACAAAAATAACACCACTAAACATATGAAGCTTGATTTCAATCCATACGTTGGGTATGTTCTTGTTATTAATAATTCTTTCCTCATATGTTTTTATGTTGTGTTAATATGTGTTATAATTTTTGGCAATAATATTCAAGTCCAATATTCTACCCTCTTAAGTGAAAATTAGCAATTAAAGCAGTGCCTTAAGCAGAAAATAAGGCATTGTTAATATTCTGCAATTACAGCCGTAATAATCATCTTTATGTCTGAAACGGCACACAGCTGCAAACAAATTTTGAAATAGAATGTTTTAAATGTGTACTCTGGAACAAGTCTATCATTAGAGCCCATAAGGAGATTTAATTCCGAAAGGCTCTAAAAGGAAGTTTGTCAAACTCAACTATACATCGTGGTGATTCTGAAAAATATCTTCCCATTATTTAAGGAAGCAAAATTCTACCGACCCGTGAATACGCTCTTTATATGTCAGTCTACTTATACATGCAACATACCCTGTTTCCTGGTAATAACGCCATTCTCGAACACAAAACGGGACAGAATTTCAAGAGAAGAAATTAAAAGTTCCTATTCATATTGCCTCTCTGACATTAGTCCGCATTAGGAATTGCCATATAATATGTAGGTTACAGATAATTTATCAGCATTGTAAAAAGCGGTAAAGCCTAAAGGAACTTCAATATTAAGCTAAACAAAATTTACCTAGGAGGAAACTGGTGGCCAAGTAAAAAAAAAAAATCAAGAGGCTTCACAAAGCATCTCAGAGTTAGTATCAACGCCAGGATTAAATCCCGGGTCTCCCGACTCCAGGTTCTGTGGTCTTTCCGGTACCCCCAAGAAACATTTCAAAAGTATCAATGAAAACGATCAGACGTCAGAAAACAAAGAGGGAACTGCTGCGTGTATTACCGTCCATGGCTGCCCGCCTCGTGTCGCGGGTGAGCGGGGGCCACTTATCTTCCCTGCACATCCGCGGCCGTCCCCTGGTCAAAGCCCGACACGAGAAGAGGACGCGGGGGAGAAAGAGAAGAGTCAAAGGCAGTGGAAAGTTCGAGGCTTGTCCCCAGTTCGAACTCGATAAAAGAAAAAAAAAACGACGAGGACACTGCTAACCCTCACACAGCTAGAGCTCAACGAAGCCACCCGCGGCCAGCTCAGTCTCACCCGGCAGGCAGTCGGGACGCCCCGGCCGCTGTCCCAAAGCCTCCCGCGGGGATGCGCGGCCGCAACAACGGCCAGAGGACCGACGGGCCGGCGGGCGACCTCGACCCGCGGCAGTCGACGGCAGCAGAGTGTCAGGGGAAGAACACGGAAGGCAACAGGTGGGAAGCGGCCGGAAAGCGGCGGGGGAGAGCGGAAATAAGACGGAGACAGGGCAGGGCGCCGCGGGCCGGAAGGAGCCGGCCCCCGACGGGACGGGCAGCTGGAGCGGGGCGGCGGGGCCCCGGGGGTACCGCGAGGGCGCTGTCCCGAAAGAAGATGTTCCCGGGGGCTGCGAAGCCGCGTCTCTGACTCTTGCCCTCCCGCTGCTCGACGGCGCTGGGGAACCAAGAGGGGCGAGCCCCGCACACACCGCCTCCAGCGGGGCGCGGGTCCCCCCTGCGTATCTGGCCTAACAGCGAGCCGGGCACGGTTATTTGCGGCCAGGAGGCAGGGTCTCCAGCCGTTAGCGGCGGTTTGGCAGCGACTCCTCTGCCCCCAACCCATCCTCACCCCTTTGGGTCTTCAAATGTTGGTCCTAAATCCCTGCGACCAACGACCACAAACCGCCGCCGCCGCCACCGTTTCGGGGACCAGTCAGTCGGAGCAGGGGGTCGCCGCAGGGGGGAGGGGAGTCCACCGGGAGGAGCTCGCGCTGGTCCTCGCGCCTGGGCTCGGCTCCCAGCGGGCACCGCGCGCCGCGGCCTAGACAGCCCCACGAGGAGTGGTCCCTCGGCCAATCAGTAATCAGTCCCGGGGAGGAGCCAAGGGAGAGGGGGCGGGATCAAGGTTTAAAACCAAAGTTGGCAGAGGGTGGAGTGTCAAAGTGCTTGGAGTGACAGGCACTTTAGCCAATTGAGGCAAGAAGAGCGATCCTGAGGGTGTGGACTGAGCTTGGAGTGCTACTAAATGAAGGTACTGGGGTTCTTTGTTAGGGCGTTTAAAAACAAGAGCTATATTTGAACTTCTTTTATTTGTTAGAGAAAAATAAATAAATGCATAGTAAAGGTTATTTTTCTTGTTTTGCGGACTCTTAAAGTTACAATGACGCAAACCAGTCATATATCCTAACTGCGGACCTTTTAAAATAAGTTCTCGAGGTGGAGTGGCTTATAAAGCTAAAAGACGAATTTGCATAGAAGTACAAAGGTTAAATGGTTTAAAAGCCTAAGGGAATGGGTTGAATTAGGAGACTAGTAATGGGCCTGACTCTTATCAGTAACCAGCTTGGGGAGAAATTTAGTGGTGGTGAAACTACTGATCCAGGGTCTATGCTTATGTAAAACCAACTTTAAAGAATACAATTTTTTTTTTTTTTTTTTGAGACAGTCTTCACTCTGTTGCTTGGGCTAAAGTGTTGTGGTGTCAGTCTGGCTCACAGCAACCTCAAACTCCTGAGCTCAAGCAATCCTCCTGCCTCAGCCTCCTGAGTTGCAGGGACTACAGAAGCCAACCACCACGACCAGCTAATTTTTTCTATTTTTTTTTTAGAGATGAAGTCTCACTCTTGCTGAGGCTAGTCTCAAACTCCTGAGCTCAAGCAATCCTCCCACCTCGGCCTCCCACAGTGCTAGGATCACAGGTGTGAGCTGTCACGCCTGGCCAAGAATACAATTTTTTGGCATTGTGTACCCATACTGAATTTTGCTTCCCTTGAAAACAACGAGGGATTAAATGTAGACAAAACAATGCCTTTAGGAAACAACTCTGTATCTATGTGTAATATTATCTATCCATAGATAGACTAATAGAATATTAGAACTGGAAAGAACCTAGATCATGTGGCTTCTTTAACAAACGAGGAACTTGACGCCCAGAATAATCAACTGGGTGAGACAGGTGCCCTTATTTTCGATCTCAAAGTGATTTCTTCCACATTAACTTGTGATTTCAGTTGGTTTGTTTTCTTTCTCTATGTGTTCAAGGAACTAATGAATGTCTAATTTAAATTTTATTTGTTAAACTAAATAAATTAAATAGTTTTTTAAAACTTATTCCAACAGTGAGGAATTAGCAGGAATTTTGGAGCCAGACAGACCTGGGTTTAAATCCTTACTTTGTAATTTTTGTGGTTGTGATAACTTGTGCAAATTACTTAACTTCTCTGAGCCCACGTTTAAAATGGGGATTGTGAGGATTAAATGATAAATAATATTAGCAAATATTGAGCACTTGTATGTGCCAGAAACAATTCTAAGGGATTTTCGTACATTAGTTCGTTTAATTCTCAGAGCTACTTTGGTAAAGATACTAGCTCCACTTTACAGATGGGGAAACTGAGACACAGAGCAAGGTTATACAGCAAGTGGCTGCAGTTTGTCTCTGAAACCCGAAGATATAACCACTATGCCATACTGTCTCAAAATATGTCCAGAAACCAGTAGAAAAGTTGACATAATACTAGGTGCACACTGGAAGCTCAACAAATACTCTTTCCTAAACTGTCTCTGCCCTCAAGCAATAAATACTAATTTTGTCTTATATATGCTGTGTGCATTCAAAATAAAGCCACTAGAAAACCTAGATCTTTTTGTATGTTTTTGACATGTCATCAATTCTCTGCCTCACGAACTGCAAGAGCAGTAATTATTATATTGATTACTATTTGTTGCTGCTCTTTTCTCTGGGAAAAGATTTCCTACTTTTCTCATGGTGGTGCCTTCTCATTTTCCAGTAATTAATTCTAACTACTGTTAAAAGAAAAACTTTTGGACAAATTAAACTTAACAGAGTTTAATTGAGCCAAGAACCAGAAAGGTTTAGCGCAAGTCCCTCGCTGCCACGTGGTAGGAGAGAATTTATGTACAGAAAAAGGAAAGTGACAGACAGAAAACGGAAGTGAGGTACTGAAAAAGCCGGATTGGTTACAGCTCCGAGTTTGCCTTATTTGAACAGAGTTTGAACACTTGGCCACCTGTGAGTGGTTGAAGTACGGCTGCTGTGATTGGCTGAGACTTGGCTACTTGTTACAGAGTAGGTTACAGTCTGTTTCCACATAGAGTTAGGTTACAGTTCACTATGTAAGCAGAAAACTTTAGGCCGAACTTAAAATAGGAGGAAGTTAATTTAACAATACAAATATGTTTAAGATTGTGCTAGCTGCAATGGAGTTAGAAACTAATATATTCGTCTGAAAAGTTAAAACAGTTAACAATTTCTAAGAGTTGCTGTAGGATCCTTAAAGAATCACTAGGTGGAGATGTTGTGCGGCACAAAAGATATTTCCATATTGGAAATGTTGGATAACCAATGTGCTGCAATATGCAAGTAGGTTATTTCCAAAATTCATAGTAAGAATCCCATAGATAATCAACGTGTATCATTTTTGACTAATGAGCACCACAAACAACTTCTCATTCAAGTAACTGGTATTTTTATTGGTGTAATTATCACAGTAATTAATGGCCATAATGTTGAAAACCATGTGATACCTAGGAAATTAGAAGGTTATTTGTTTGTAAAGTAATGTGTGTGCCTATTTGTCTATAGAAATATATGTACATATATAAAAAAGATAGATATCATAATAGCAATATGGTAAGCATTTAATTGCTTTGTGTGTAGGACTAGATTTTGTTTTACTTCCCACAAGACTAGCAGTATTGAAGGACTGGGTAGGCCACCTGCTATTCTGGTATCAAACTCTGGAAAGGACTCCAGAGACAGAATAGCCACCACATTGGAAAAACTGTACTGTCATTGAAAATTGCTGCTCATTGTGTTATGGTTCAGAATATACTTAGAACTTTCAAAGCAATAGAAAAATTATCTTGAGGTGTTTCTCAAGGCTGTCCACAATTTAGAAACATTTTTTTCTGGTAGCTAAAGGAAGAAAATTGAGAGGGAAAGAAGACCTCTGTTACCAATTCATCCATTCTGTAGACTTTGATGGAATATTTCTTACTCTTTGTTATGGTGCTATACCCTAGAGAATATATGCAGAGGTATCATGTACACAATCCCTGTCTCTGCTCTGTCTCCAAGAAATAATTATGAAATTATTTATAGATCTTGTACACCATGGCAGCTGTTCATAAATTAGATTATGTCCAAGAATTATCCTAGGCAGTTGTCAAAAATGCAGATTTTCAAGATCCTTTCAGAGAGTTTAAATCAGGAGACTTAGCAAGTGGGATTAGGTCATGTGCATACAAGAGAACAATCTAAAATAACTTGAACTGCTTGAATAAACTAGCAGCTTATTTCTTCTAGTGGCAGATTGTCCAAGCCTGATATGGTGGCATGACAGGGACAGATGTTTCTTTCTGTTTCACCGCCCTGAGTGGCTGGCTTCCATCCACAAAGACACCTCATAATCTAGAATGACTTCTGGTCTCTAGCCATGGTGTCCACTTCCAGGCAGCAAGAGAAAGGGGAAAAGGAAATGTATACTCCTTCCTTTTTTAGGTGCCTTCCTGAAATTCCTACACAACATATCTCCTTTTATTTGATTGGTCAGAACTTTTTCACATGGCCAGGAAATGTATTTTAATAGGGGTATTGCTAATCCCAAATAGATTAGGATAATGTTACTAAAGAGGAAAGGGACAATGATGTTGGGATAGCCAACTAGTAAACTTTGCTCTACTACCTGTAGGATGTGGCCCAGGAACCTGCAATCATCAGTGATTCTGATGCAGGTGGCCCATGGAGTCACGTTAAGTAACAGTGCTATAGGAAATCAGATAAGGGAGAAATTATAGTTGGATGACATTATGTTATTTTTTTTTAAAGTCCATTTGATGGAGGCAACAAGCCCAATGAAGATGTACTCTCATTTATAAAGAATGTTGAAAATGTTAATTTTCATTTCAATTTAATTTTCATTTCATTTTCATTGTTAATTAAAAATTTTAATTGGCTAAATATCCTTATCATTATAAATGGGTTATTATTTCCAAATATTTAGAGTAAACACTGTGTGCGCGCACACACAGGCACACACAAATTGATCACAAATGAATGATATAACACCCCAGAATTATCAATATGATATCAATATGATTGCTAATTATAACCAAACAGTTATTATGCTTTTCTAAGTTCTGATTTTGGAAAAAGATGTTCATTTATATCACAAGCTCTGGTTCTGCATTAAAGCCACACTTCCCTTTTCCCTTTCTCCTGCTTTCCCAGATAGCTTCCAAACAAACTCCCTTGTTATCCAGCTTCGACACACAAAAACATGTCACTGCCACTAGCCTTTTCTCTTCTTAAAGTCCTTGCTTTAAAAGAGCCATCACATCCAGTTGCTGTAAGCCAAGCCAGTCTGGCCACTTTTGGGATTTCCAAAAGGTCAGCAGCTGGGTCCCATCAGTTGAATGGAATGGCCAGACTGACAGAACAGGCCCCTGCCCCCATGGCACATGCTGCCACCCAGAACACCACCAGCCTGGACCTGCTCCACAAAGCCGTGGTGGTAGGAAAGCCAAGCTACTGCTTTCTTTCTAAGAGCTAAATTGTGGTGCAGAAGCTGGAGGACAGAGGAATCTCTTTAATAAACCTTAACAGAAAGAATTGATGTGTCAGTACAAGGAGGAACTATAAGCCTAGAAATAGTCCTAGACATATGGAGGAGGCGATACTACTTATAGCCTCTTGGGTAACATTTATTAAGCCAAGCCTACTGGGAGGCTCAACACAGTTTTACTCTAACCTTCACAGTAATCTTGAGAAATAAGTAGTATCAACTTCATTTATATGTGAGAAAATTAAGACTGAGATAATTTGCTGAAGTTCCCA